CCCCCCCCCCCCCCCCCCGATTTCTGGACTCCCAATTCTACTCTACACCAATGGTTTCACGCATCAATGGTGAGTTTACAGCCTCATTTTACCGTTTTTAAATCATTTACAGAGGGTACATGTTATAAACTACCGTTTTCATAAATATTACTAACTGTATAGCCTTAGTGTTAACATATGGTCCATTAGCGTGACCCAGACGTCAAGGCCTGACGCTCGCCTGCCAGGCTTGTCTGGCACCCGCACGTTCTTGCCCAACTCCTTGCTAGTTGGGCTTGCCCAAGGCCTGATCTAACTCTCCATTGACCTAATTGTCCCATATAAATAGAATGATTCCTCCTCCATTAGGAGGCAACTTCTCGTCATATCCTTCTGATCTCTAGACCAACCTCCATGGCCAAACTCACACACAACACACCAAGATGGTTCTCTCCAGCTAGGAAGAACCGTCTCATATCTATCAACCGATTTAACTTGATCGTCGGAGCTTGTTCACGGGGCACAGTCTTTGGGGCAACTCTAACGACTTTGATGTGATGGCAGCTTAGGTATCTCGACGGGAACTCACTAACGGCACCATTTCCAGATCTCCGATCTGGATCCAACACTGAAACCCCGGCGACCTGAACTCATGTCGCAACATTTGGCGCAATCCGTGGGACCAAAAGCGAATAACTATTGACTCTTGTTATCAACCTCAGTTTCTCCCCCGATCTGTTTAGATCTGTTGTTCATTGCCTCAAGTTTGCTCAGATATGTTCATTTCTATCATTATCTGTCCAAGTCCGTTCGGCTCTTGCAAAAATTTGTTCATATCTACTTCCCAAACATTCGGATCTCTAGATCTGCTTTGTGTTTTCTCTCAAATCTCTTGATCTGCTCCGTTTTTGCCCAAATCTATAAGATATGCTTCACTATTTTTCGCTGAGATCTCTAGACCTGTTATGTTCTTGTTCATTTAAACATTTCTGAAGCTTGCAAAAACATTTTCAGATAAGTTTTCGTTCATATTTTTGTAACTTATTCAAAAAGTTGGGGAAGAAAGAAAGTTTTATGAGTTCTTATGCCTTTATCAGTTCATATTACCAAGAAAATCCCTTTTAGTTGATGATTTTTTGTGCACAACATCATTATTTGAAGTTTTATTTGTAGATGCGACTGCAAAGCTTATACATTTCATAAAACTCAGAAAACATAAATATTTACCCATTTCACCAAAACATAACCCATTTTGTTTATCAAACTTCAAAAATTACCATCACAACTCATATGGTTGTACCAAAGGTAATAAAATGTACAAGAATAGTATACATATGTCTCTCTGATCAAAAGAAAAAAAAAGGAAGAAAAGATGGTAAGCATCATCGCATACACACATATAAGCTAAAAGACAAACTATATGGGACCCACATGTTTGGAAAGCCTTGATAGGCTTAATGAAAAGAAAAAATGTTGGGCTCCACCTGCTTCATCACCATCCTCGAAAACGGCCATGCCCATTTTCACTTCCCCTATCACCTACAACAATCGTCGGATAAACCTCCAACAACACTTACCGGCGAGCCAGCTAGGCACCACCATCATAGCCGACGGTCTCTACCAGTTCCGACAAATCACCTTTGCTAGTACATCGTTGCTCCAACCAGATTCACAGCGCAATCAGCCAACCATCTCCCGTTGACCACCTGTCGACGATCTCCTTCAGGCGCGACCCAACGGAGTAGCGATGCCACCAGAATCACAACGGAGTTGCAACGCCACCGAAAACAATCCTCCAACGTCATTGTCGGTCATTCTCAGCAATCCTCCTGCCCCGATGAAGACAACGTCCATCCATTTGTCTTCTCGATTTGTTGTCGCCAGATACTCCATCAGACCAGCACCGCTGATCTGATTTTTCTCTCCACCTTCGTGCTCCGGCGACGAACCACTAAGACCATTTGTGGTTTGCATATGATACAAGGAGACCTTTGATTCATGATGATGGTCCCCAGCACCCTTGTACAATACATTTCACACAAAAAGGGTGGGATACATGTGTGCCCTAATAATCGGATCAACCCACAACTGAAAAAAAAAGAATTGAGCCAAGTATTTCAAATGGGATCCAACAACTTATTTTGGGCTTCACTTAGATCAATTTTTTCATACTAGTGGGCTACCCCAACAATATTAAAACAGACCACTTCTGCAAAATAATAATAATCAATTTAACATTGACGTATCACAAGCTCCGCTCAACAAAATACACTTTCAGAATAAGCGTTGCGGTCCAGACGACTATAGTTTTCCAAAAAAAGGAGGGAAAAGAGTAATACGATACTACTACTACTACTATTACGCGAAGCATTTCGAAGCGATCGTGATATTAATAAGTATATGATTTCAACAAACATACTAGCTATCAAATTTGATTGTGTTGCCTGGATCCCAACAACCGTGCTGACCAGCTCTGGGAAGTCTCTTTACCCACCTCATAAACCACGTTGCCCGGCTCCCAGCAGCCGCGCTGGCCAACTCTCAGTTGTCTTGCTGTTCTACTCTCAGGAGCCGTTCTAACCAACTCTCAGTAGTCTTGCTTCCAAACTCTCACTAACAGCTCGTTGCCCAGCTCTTAGCGATCCTGCTGTTCAACTCTCAGTAGCCTCAGCTCTCGACAAACAGCCAAGACAACGAGGCACCGATTGTCACTACAGCTAATCAGGCAGTAAAGTATCAAGTGACTTTACATTCAGGATCAGACCGATCATCCGGGCCGAGCACATAGATCGAAGGATGTTAAGCCTAATCTTGCTAAAGGTTCAGACGTAACCTTTTCCTTGAGTCGTCTGGCTACTCATCTCGACTCCATTATAGCGGCGAGCTCTGCATGAAAGGTTCAGAATCCTTGCCTTGAGTCGCTTGGCTTCCTAGCCCGAATCCATTATTGCGGTCTGCTTCGCCTTAACCTTCACCTTGACACGTTAGGCTTCTTAGCCTAACTCCACTATCATGTCATGCTCCGCGAACAAGGCTTAAAGGCGTACAACCTAAACCCGATCTATTTCCACGCGATGTCATTCCGCGTGATGTATTCATGATCACTGGCTGCTAAGCCCGATCCATTTCTACGCGATGCTATTCCGCGTGAAGTATTTACTGATGGGTTTTATACATAACAAATTCATATTTTAGGTGGAAAAAATAAAACCGTAAGCTTGGATACACCCTAAATGATCTATGTTCTCACTATGATTTGCAAACAACAATTTGAATTCAAGAAACCCTAAAGTACATTGCTATTTTTAAAAATTGAGAAGGGTTATTAGAAAAAAACATACCTTGTAGTTTATTGTTGTAAATAAACTTGAATTCCTTCTTTGTAGAACTTCAGAAAGCCAACACCAGAAATCTCGTGCTTCTAATGGCTCACACCCAAACATTAGAAGTTTGAGGTTATTGAAGAGAGAGGAGAGGGGAGAGGATTTTCGGCTCTAGGGTTCCTTAGAATGAGTGTTGAAATTAGAGGCTATGGAAGGGTTTATATAGGTGAACAAAGAGGCTTGGATAAGGCGGGTTTCATTGGATAAGCCTTATCCATTTGCTTTCCCCCCAAAGTTTCCTTAGAGCCCAAGAAAGGCTCTAGATACTATCTAGAACTCCTCCTAGATTTCGTCCAACCCTAGGAGGTTCTAGAATTTGTCCAATGCTTAAATTTTGAACATTGTCACCTTTAGTCCTTCCACTTTTAGTTATTCTAATTAATGTCAATTAATTTCTGATTAATTTATAATTAAACAATATAATTTCGAATTAATATATTTTTCTCAAAAAATATTAATAAATTATTTATTTTGATTTCTAATTAATTTATTAATCATATAATAAATTAATAAATTAGTCTCTTCTTCCAAATAACATTCCAGTCACTCTCAATGTATCACTGCCACCAAGGACTAGAACCATGTCATTTGTCCTTAGCAAATAATTGAGAATGTTCTTAAATGTTGTCCAATGATCTCTACAGGATTTCCCTGATAGCGACTGACCATGTTCAAAGAAAAGGACACATCAAGGCGAGTACATGTCATAGCGTACATGATCGATCCTACAGCCAAAGCATAAGGGACTCGACTCATGTCAGTTATCTCTTCATCCGCACTTGGGCTTTGAGTCTTACTCAATTCAACATTGCTCTGAATAAGTAGCTCTCCATTGTTGTGTAACATCCTGTTCCGTATAGTTTTACGATTCAAGGCTCGTGGGCCGCAATCCAAGTATGATAAGGTTTTGAGGCTTGGAAGGAGAAAGGTTTACGCCCTTTTGGGATGTTGGTAAGGTAGGTTGTGTGATAAAAGAGTTCGGTTTGTGCTTTAGAGCCCAAAGGTATTGTTAAAGGCGTTGGTTCGGGCTTTTCATGAATTTTGGATCTGAGTTCGAGTGGGCTTCAAGAGAAATAAAGTTGATAGAAGTGTAGGGCTTCTCGTTACCTTTTCATGGATAGAAGGATCGTCAAAAACGGATGTATAACAAAGAAGTTACGACCTTCGAAAGTTTCGTGGTTTTCAGGCTTAGCCGAGTACGCAGGGCGTACATAAAGCGTACGCGGGGTGTACAAGTGAAAAAGACAGTACGCGGGGCGTACCTTGGAGTACGCTGGGCGTACTAACCAAGATGGTCGCGAATGTTCTTCGGAGTTCGTTGGGCGTACCATATGTACGCTGGGCGTACACTAGTCAGATTAGAACCCTATTTTAAGGCCTTAGACCCTATTTAAGCTCCTTATCTCATAACCTAACCCTAATATCTTTAGCCTCCATCCCTCTAAACCCTAGAAATCGACCCTATTTAAGCTCCTATTTAAGCTCCAGTCGGTGCGCGGCAACAACGGTTGTAAGAATGGTCCATCGCTGAGGTGAGTCTTCTCACTATACTTACCTGATTGGTAATTTATGTGTGACTGGAGGGTCTTATTCGAGTTATTGACCGGAGGGTCATATTCGTTTCACCGACTGGAGGGTCGTATTCGTGTTATTGATCGGAGGGTCTTATTTGCTTTCTGCTTATATTGAGATATGTGTTATTATGCATTCTGTCTTTGTGACTTATGCTGTTATATTGTTCTGTGTATATGTTGAGCTATGACCGGAGGGTCCATACTGAGACGTGATACCGGAGGGTCTTCACTGAGACACATGACCGAAGGGTCCTTATCGAGATTTAGCCATGCGAGGCTAATTATTTGTGTATGTGGTATTTTGGGTAACTCACTAAGCTTCGTGCATACAGTGTTTGTGTAAAATGTGTTTCAGGTACTTCTGTAGATTCCGGGAAGGTGGAGGCATGATTGTACACATACGTCGGCTTATGGAGATTTGAGGATTTTGGGATACTCTGATATTGTTTTACAATTTATGTGATGACTTGAATTTATGAGTAATCACTACAAGAAAAATACCCTTTAATGAAACGCAAACAATGACACTCGCTGATTTACGATACGTATTTTTGTGTGACCTTAAAAATAATGCCAGCCTTCCAAAATTTGAAGGATAGAGGACACACATTTTTGCGCACATTCAAATTAGTGTCCAACAAAAAAATACAAACACGGAGGGCACTTGTTTTAAATGCGTGTCCTCTAGAAATGTCGCTTTATATTTTTTTTATCAAACGCGCGTTTTTAAAGGCGGAAACTGAAATCCTTTGCGATTCTAAAATTTTGAAGTGCCCGCTTCTTCACTTTTTCCTCTAGATCTCCTTTCTCTGTAAAAACCCTAAGGCATCGCCACCTCCCTTCTCTCTAGGACGTGCTAGGGTCCAGAAATCATCTCTAGCGGCCGAACATGCGGCGGCTGGAAACTTCGACACTGCTATGCGGTTGCTCAGCCGCCAACTTGGCATAAAGAACTTCACACTGTTGAAATCACTGTTTCTTGGTCTTCACATGGGGATTCATGCTTTCCTGCGTGCTTTCTCTTCGGATCCATTGATCTCATTGGCTATTGAGTGTGGCTGGAGTGAGTCAGCAAGCCCTAACGTCCGGGCCCCACCTGCACTTGTGTTCAATTTCTCTCAGTTAGAAGAAAAACTCAAAGCTGGCTAGAAAGCCACCACCACTGGTAAATTGACGGAAGCCTTGCGTCTTTTCCTGGGTATTCTCCATACCATTCCCCTGATTGTTGTATGTGCGAGGGTATGTCTGTCTTCTTCCTTTTACAATCGATAAGCCCTAACACCGAAGATTGAAAGTCAAAATTAGATTAATCGCCGCCTCATATTCGTTCAATCGAGTTTGGACCTGGTTTCACTATCGCTGCAATCAATCACCCTGCTCCACCTCTCACCAGTCACCACTGTTGGCCCCTGCAATTAGGTATGTCTCTCAGTTCCTCCGTTTATTTCTTCTCTTTGTTACTCTCGTCTCTCTTGTCCGCTTGAAAGTGCAATCAACATTCAGCAATTCATGAATGTCAAACATTTGATTTACTGTTACCATGTCTAATTTTGGGGTATCTCCTAGAGAATCTATTTAACAGAATGTAAATCTTAGAACTTTGCAATGTGCACGCCTATATCTTTATTGATTATCAGTAATTTTGCATCTATTAAGTTTTTCTAGTATGTTTATTGTTTTTCATCTAGATTATGTCCTTAATTTGAATTTATTCTGTTTGGTTAACACAAGTGTTGACAGGATGTAGAAGATGTTCTAATGGCAATCTGCAAGCCTCTATCTTTATTGATTACACTCTTTAGATTCACAAGTTTTATATTTAAAACAATCTTTCTTTCAAACTATAACAAAAAAAGCTAATAAATTAATATATAATCGGTTTGGTTTCGAACCGGACAAGATCAAAAACTGATTTCTGAATAATTTGAAAACAAGAACTTATTACATTAAGCATCAACCACTTTTTTTTTTTAATCTTGACACATCATCATGCCACATCAGCGGGTAACTGGGTTGACCAGTCAAGTGGTCAACATTGCAAAAATTAGAAAACTTTGTGATTAAATTTTAACAAGAAAATAACGCAGTGTCAATCGTTTTTTTTAATGACTTTTTTGCAATTTACCATTTTACCCTTTTTATGATAGGTGTCGTATTTACAGGAATAATAATACTGAGTAAGTTTTGATAATGAATTTTATCTTGCAGTTACTATGATGCGTATAAGGGCGTTATTGTCTATTTCTGTGTTATTGATGGAACTGTAAAGAAAGGTGACATGATTTATTTTATGGCTAGTGGAAAGGTTAAAACAAAAACCACTCTTCTCTTGTTTTTTAAGCTTGTTGTAATAATACCGAGATTAATTATACTTGGTTTAATATATATATATATATATATATATATATATATATATATATATATA